GGAACCCAGGGCTTGGCTGGAAGGGGCTGTGGGTTGGGAGTGAGGGGCACTGGTGGAGCTGGGGTGGGGGGGAGGCCCAGGGCTGGGCTAGCAGGGGCTGTGGGTCAGGAGTGAGGGTCAGAGTTAAGGAGGGCCCAGACCCCCTGGGAGGTGGAGGAGGAATTTCTTACCACACAGGCTGTGTCGGAGGAGGAAGAGGAGGAGGAAGAAGGGGATGTGTTCCATGGCCCCAGAGTCTTTTGGGGGGTCGGAGCAGTGGGGAGAACAGAGGCTCCTTTCCCAGCTGTGTAGGAAGGCGGAGTGGGGGAAGGAGGGTGGGAGCTGATATTTTGGTCTCTGAAACCTCAAGCTAGAAAGAGGAAATGGCATGTGGTTCCCAGAAAATGATGCTGCTTTATCCCTCCCCAAGCTGGGAGAGAACCCAGGAGTCCTGCCTCCCAATCCCCATCCCCACTCTACCCACCTGACTCCACTCCCCTCCCCGGGCTGGGATAGAACCCCATCTCCTGCCTCCCAGCCCCCTCGAACCCTCTAGTCCTCACTCCCCTCCCAGAGCTGGGGAGAGAACCCAGGAGTCCTGGCTTTCTCTGCACCCTAGATCTCGGCTACCCTCCCCCTTTTCCCCTCCTCCTCTGTCTCTGAAAAGGAAACGGAGTCAGAAAACCTGGACTCCCACTCCCTTGAGCCAGTCAGTGCTCCGGTCTGAGGCCAGATTGAATCCCACGCTGCCCAGAAGGGACAGGCCCCATGATCCACTCCCACCCCTCTCTCGTACCTGGCTGGGCTGTGCTCAGAGCTGAGGGGGGTGGGGTTGGATTCTGTCTGCTGATCTCCTCTCTCTGTATATCTATACACACACACACACACACACTGTGTGAGGAGGGAGGTGCCGGCCTGAGCCGAGCCCAGCCCCACCTAGATATCGATTTTATGGGCACGCTCACCATCCTGCTACATATCCTGTTCTCCTGGGCTCTCTCTCCAGCTCTGGGAGGGGAGTGAGGTCTAGTGGTTAGAGCGAGGGGGGGGCTGGGAGCCAAGACTCCTGGGTTCTCTCCCCAGCTCTGGGAGGAGTGTGGGGTCCAATGGTTAGAGCAGGGGGGCCTGGGAGCCAGGACTTGTGGGTCCTATCCCAGCTCTGGTAGGGGAGCAGGGTCCAGGGGGTTACAGGAGTGGGGGCTGGGAGCCGGGACTCCTGGGTTCTAAGATCTGTGCAGCGGGCTGGGTGCAGCTGCACTGGAGTTAGCTGATATTTTGGGAGCTGGTTCCCTGCACGGGGTTTCACTTCATGTTTCCTTTTTGCTGTCCTGCTCTGGTTGTTGGGTGTTCGGAGAAATCACAGCCCCTCGGGTGACCGAAAAAGGGAAGGGGAGAGGGGTGGGGTGGAGGCAGCTGACTGGAGGGAGGAACTCTCCCTGATCAGAAGAGAGGATAGTGGGGTCGAGACACAGAGAAAGAAAGAGAAAAAGATGCCGGAGAAGGTAGGTTTTGAGGCCCAGCTGTCTCAGCGGCCTCCCCGGCCCCAACCATAAGGGGCTAAGTAGGGGTTGGTTCCTTGGGGGCAGCAGAGGGGATGGATCCCTAGACCTGATGTGGGGTGGGCAGGGGCAGGGTGGGAGGAAGTCCCAGGACAGGGGTTGAAGGATGGGAATTGGGGAGCACGAGGTGGGGTGTGAGGTGTGGAGACATCAGAGGAGCTGAGCAGAGGAATGGGAAAGCAGGGAAGAAGGGAAGAAAGAAATGAATGCGGGAAAGAAAGACAGGAAAGAGGGAATGAGAAGGAAAGAGGGAACGAGACGAAGAAGGGAGGAAGGGAAGCAAGGAGGAGCAGTGAGTGAACTTTAGGGGCCCTACTCCCAAATCTATCTCTAATCCTCCCTCCCCCAACCTGCAGATGTCTGCAGTTATTGCTGTCCTGGCCCGTCTCCTGCAGCCGGCTCTGGTCACCCTGGGCAGGGATGCCCGATGCCACAGCCTGGTCCCCTGGTATTTCCTCCTGGGCCTCCGCCTCATTGCTCTCTTTGTGGCTGACGGGCCGTGGGCTTCAGTGAAACCAGACCTGGCCTGTAATTGGACCTCGGTCAATGGGGACTTCCAACCATTCTGTGCTGCCCTGTGCTACAACTAGCGCTTCCCAGCCCCCATCTCCTCGGCCTGGGGCTTACGTCCTCGCCACCCTGCTCCCCGTGGGCCTCATGATGTTGATTCATGCCCAGTTCGGCCGACGGGCTGCGGCCAGAGGGGACGAGGAGTTAGCAGGACCAACTGATGCAACCAATATGGCTGCCAAAACCAACATGGCTGCCGAAACCAAGCTGGCTGGAGAGCCTAATATGGCCACTGGAGCCAACTGGGTTGACATAATTAATATGGACTCTGAGTCCCAATGGGTTGGCCAGTCCAAGATGGCCACTACAGGAGCTAAGATGGCTGCCAGCTCAGCCTGGCGCTCCCCAGCATTTGGTTTATGTGTGGTGCTGCTCCTGGCTACAGAGTTGGGCTTCTTGTGGGCTATGCTGGCCCTACAGTTACCCTTGGTGTCAGGGGCCTACTTCCAGTGCCTTCCTGGGGCTCCCCCCTGCCCTCGAGTGTGCCCTGTCAGGGCAAGCTGACAAGAAGATGGCGCTGGTGACTCTGGCCTTCATGGCCTGTGTCAATATAGCCTCCTGTCTTGCCTATGGGATCATAAGGCTGGGGAGGGCGGCCCAGTGCCAGGGGAGATGGGGTGAGGGAATGAGTGTGGGAAGAAGGGGAGAAAGGAGTGGGGGAAAGAGGGACTGGTTGAAAGATTTAAGATAGCTTCTCAGCCCAAAGTGCTTGGCGTATCCAAGATGGCCACCCAAGATGGCAGGGGAGGGGAAGAAAAGGAGGGACCCTGTAGAATCATGGACTATTGAGCAGACCCCTCTCACAGAGCAGAGACCCCCATCTATCTACCATCAGTGACATGGGTGTGGGCACCGACACAGAG